GAAAAAAACTGGAGGGGTCCCGGGGGGGGGGGGGGGAATTTCTGAAACACTGAACATATGATTAGGAAATTAACCGGTTACGTATCGGGTATTCTTAGGGTAATAAGGGGAGAGATTGCAATCAGGTTAGCACAATATAAAATGAGTAAAACAGAGTAGGGTTAAACCTGAAAAAAATAACGCAACAAAACAACGAACGTGTCGGCAGAAAGCCATCGTCAGCGAACAAAACAGAAAAAAATGGTATAAAAATAAGAAATAGCACTTAGCTGGTAAGTAGTATCCGTGGGCAGCAAAAGAAATGTGGATGAGGCCCTTATGTTATTAATATTAGGGGAGCACATTTTAATTTATTATCATCGAAAACGCATAAATAAATATTTATGTATATTGTCTTATTGTAATTTCAATTATTCACTCAGCATGGCATTGGGAAAATGTTATGTTTTTTAAAAATATATTATTTTTAAGTACAGTTGTCGGTAATTAAACGTACCGGGGTACCACTCTCCAATAATGAATCAAAATTGAAAGGAGTAATTTTAGAGCTGAACGACCTGAAATATAAATATAGTGATTGTTGTAAATGTAATAATTTAAATTTGATTAAAAAAAAATTAAAATAAAATGTCCAAAGGAGAAATAGAATTTCTTAAAGACCACGGTAATAATAATTGTTTTCTTGGTGAAATAAAATTGTCAATAAATGGTTGCTGGGTTCAAACATGTTCAGTTCAAATTTTTTTAATTGTTATTGTTATTATAGAATTTAGGCCCAGTCCTAACTATAACTTACTAAATACTAATGGCAATATTTGTGTCCAATAAATAATCACAATTTCAACATTAAGGAGCCAAATCACTTTCACTTTCTTCATAGATAAAACTACAGTACCTGCACTGTAGACTAGACAGTGTCAACTCAGTGTGTCACAGTGTGTGTGGATGTTTCAGTGTTTTATAGACTATAGATCATCAGATTAATTTGAGATAACTAAACTCTAAACTAAAATTATCAAATAAATTAAAAATTATTAGGCCTGCTTGCAGCTTAGCCCTTCCATTTTTATATGTTAGCAGTTTTGTACGGCCTTGCAGGCTTTTGTACATTTTTCACTGATCTAGCGCAAGACACATGTTGATTGACATGTTCAAAACTGATGGTGCAATAATTCAAAATTTGACAACAGGAAGCTTAAACCCTATTGGCATTGCTTCATTCAAAGTGACCAAGTTGAGTTGAGGTTCGGGAGGCCATCTCAATTTAGAAACTGAGTGCTGTTTTATTGAATTTCATTAGTTAATATTAAAACTAAAACAGTGTAGTGCAGTATGGTAGTAACTACTTTTAGTAGTAAACCATAATTAGAAATCTGCGTGCGTAATTCTTAACAAGAACCGCAGTGTTAATTAGTTTTATTTTAATTTCTATTAAATAATTAAATAAATTTAATATTACTATCAATGACTAGCTTTAGTCATTATTTCAATTTATTAAAAGGAAATGAGTAAAATAAAGTATAGGAAAACCTGAAAAAGGGAAGGCAAAAAACAGTGAACGTGTTGGCAAGAAGCCTTTATCAGCAAACAAACAACAATAAAAACAGAATATAAATGACTAAATGACATTTAGCTAAACTGTAGTATCCGAGAGGGCAGCGAGAGGATTGTGACAGAAAATAAGTAGGTGAGAGATAAATACAGGCCAAAAGTGAAAAAAAAGAGAAGTAAGTCCACTGGTATAGGTCATGACGAGGAGGCGTGGAGCAAAGGCTTTAACAGGTGAATGAGACCATGACATTCATGCCATGGGGTATGAATGTTCCATAAGACTGGATCAGCTTGTTTTCCAGTTTGTGCAGGTCATGACTGCACATATTGTAAAATCTGTAGTCTTCTTGTGGTTGCTTCTATTGAAGTGTTTAGAGATGCGACACTGCTTATCTTGTGTAATATTATGGAGGTGTTCAGTACATCTGTCAGAGAGTTGGCGTCCTGTCTCCCCTATGTATGACATCTGGCAGCAGGTGCTACAATGGTGTCGACAACATTTCGGTTAGTACAAAAGAAACCATCCCTTATCTGAAAACTGCCGATAGTGAAGGTAATGTTTTGAGTCAGGACGATGAAAGGGCAAGTGTTGCAACGGCTGCGTCCACATGGCTTGGTCCCAAAGTGGGAGGGGGGCAGTGTTGATGCGACTTCGCACATGGAGGTCTCTCAGATTTTTAACATGTCTGAAAACAATGAGAGGCAGGAAAGAGAAAATGTCAAGTGTCTGCGAGGAGAATGACACAGTTTTTAAGGAAAACATTTATGTCTAAAGATTGTGAGGATTATATGTGAGAATAAGTTGGGTCCTATTATCATTGCCACTCGGACATGACCTGAAGGCATCAACATGGATAATATTTTTAACCCTTTGAAGGGCTACATCAGATCACTCCTTTCCATTGTGGTGACCCTAATTCCATCATCAATGTACCTTGTGTAGAATTCAGGGATTGTAGTTGCATTCGACAATGTGTTTGAAATGTCCCATGAACAAATATGTGTAAACTTTTCTGAACACTTTTTCATGCTGTTGTATGGCTTTTTGGGGACTTTTGTGCAGTTTTTTTATGCATGGCCTAGCCTAAAATAAAATAAACTAGTAATGACTTCTATTTCTATCTATTTCAGTGAACAAACTCAGCCATTCGCTTTCCCAGTATCAAAAAGCCTTTCCAAATTTTATTCTTGAAGAGCATGGAATTACAGAAGTAAGTTTTTCATTGTGATCATATTCTAAGTGTCCGAACTGATTATAATTATTATACATTTTATGTTAGGGGCCATCCATTCATTATTCAACAAAATAGGGAAGAAGGGGGTGGGGGGTGGATAAAGTTTGACTATTGTTGACAAGGAAAAAGGCAGAGAGGGTTAAACAGAAATTTACTTAAACAATTCTACTTTTCTTTGATAAAATTATTTATATATATATATATATCTATAGAGCATTAATAAGCATCAATAATTTGTTCAAATAACTATTAATTGTAATGGCTTTAAAAACTCTTAAAATTCAAATGGTCAGCACTGATAATGCATTATTGGGCCCAAGATATTTCTACCTGCTCCTCAAAAAAAAAAAAAAAAAAAAAAATATAGGAAATTTTAGTTGTTAAAAAAAAAAAAAAAATAGAATTTTTTTAACAAAAAAAAATAAATAACTATTAATTGTAATGACTTTAAAAACTCTTAAAATAAAAATGGTCAGCACTGATAATACATTATTGGGCCCAAGATATTTTTACCTGCTCCTCAAAAAAAAAAAAAAAAAGAAAGATGTGGGAAATTTGAGTTGCTGACAAAAGAAAGAGGATGGCAATTATTTAACCAAAATAAAATTCTGAAATTTATGCATTGAACCGTTTGACCAGAGAAAGATGATGTCAGCTGATCCCATATATTAATATGGCAATGATTAATTAATCAGTTTCTATGAGTAGTTGCAAAAGTGAAACATTTGGCTATTCAGCATAAAGATGAATGTAACTGGCAATAAATTTACTAACAAGAATTTTTAGACTTCATAAATTCTTTAATAAAATCTGCAATATAAATTGAATCTAGTCATAGATTCTAGCAGTTAAAAATTTAAAATTTGTTAAAATTTGTTTAAAAAATGTACTAAATTTGTTGTTCTCCCGCCTATTTCTATATGCTCTATCTCCAGCATTAAAAAAGAATAGTATTTGTTTATTTTCATTTTCTTTGAGGAGTCCTTTAATCAATTGTTGACATAACTTTGACAGTTTTTTGACAAGGGGGTGGCGGGGTTTGAAAATTGCAAAAAAAAAATGTTGACATAATTTATGGGTTGTCCCATATATATTTAGTGTCTTTTTTGTTTAAATAATTTTAAATGTGCATAGCAAAAAAAAAATTGAATTTAAGGGGAAAACTACATTCATTGACTTATATTTATATCTTATTGGTTAAGTAAACTTTTTTTTTTTTTTGTGTAAACATGAAAACAGTTTGACTTTGTTTAGCTCTGGCCTTAATTTTATTTCAGCAAGATGTAAGGGATCAGCCTTGGCTAGCAAATAGCAAGTATGTGTATTTATTTTTTTTGTTTAAATAATTTTAAATGTGCATAGCAAAAAAAAAATTGAATTTAAGGGGAAAACTACATTCATTGACTTATATTTATATCTTATTGGTTAAGTAAACTTTTTTTTTTTTTTTTGTGTAAACATGAAAACAGTTTGACTTTGTTTAGCTCTGGCCTTAATTTTATTTCAGCAAGATGTAAGGGATCAGCCTTGGCTAGCAAATAGCAAGTATGTGTATTTATTTATTAAGGCCATAGTGTTATAAAAATAATATCTACACTACAGGTAAACTGAAATCTCTTTAACACTCACTTTGCACCAGACAAGTGAGGAAAGGGGTGGGAAACATTGCTTCCCCTTTATGGCTTTAAATACTGTTTTTATACACAGTCTTCCAGGAAAAGATACACCCACTTCAAGAAGTGGCTATCTTTTATGGCAGTATATTTTTTCTAATTGCCTTCACCCCTTTTACACTTATTCACTAGGTTCTTTAATATGTTTTCTTCACTAATGGCTTACGCATTAAAATGTTGACATTTTAATTGAGATGTAAATTTATCACGTTCGACTAATTGAGCTTTAGGGACAAAACAAGAAAATGGGCTTTAAAAATAATTATATACTTTGATTAAAAAGTTTTTTTGTGACAATATTTTTGTTAAAAATGCTAAACAAATAGATGTATTTTTTTTTAAAATTGAAACCTTCAAATTTGTATGCTATTCTCCACAAAATAATTTTTTATTAATTGATAAAAATAGTCTCATTTGTTATAATATTACTGTTTATAAAAAACAAAAATATCTATTTTACAAATAGCTTAATAGATCCCCCAATCATGTCCTTAATTTTTTTTACTCTTGCTTCATTCATACTTTAAATAACACATCTTTTTTTATTATTTTTTTTATTTTGTGTGCACAATTTCACTCCACAACAGCTATCACACTCCATTTCAGAAATGTACCCACATGGTGGACATGATGAGTTCTTGTGTGTTAGTGCAATTATTTATATGTAGTTTGAAGTATGAATAAGCCAAGAATTTAAAATGACAGAGCGTGTATGCAGTGCTATGTTATGGTGCTATATACATATGTTTATACATAAATAGTTTTGCTTTGTTACAACAAAAAGTTACTTATACTTTTGGTAACATGCAAAATGCAAATGATTATATTTTTTATTATCCAGCCAACTCCACCCATTATTACGGGAGTATGATGCTACTATCCATGGATTGCAAGGTCAAATCAGTCATCTTGAGGTGAGCAACATTTCTCTTTATTGAATATTCGAAATAATCGTTACATATTTAAAAACTGTAAACAGTTCATATGATTTACGTCTATTATACTTATAAACATAATGAAATTTAAATTCAAGACATGTATTGATCAATCATTATTTTGCTATCTGCAGTTCAGTTAATAAGTTTTTAAATTATTCTCTTGTAACAGATAAATAGAAAATAAAATGGACAAAGGTCATTTTGAAAAGTTAAATATTTCATAATTGAATATTTTTGTACATAGAAAAAATAGCTGTGTAATAGATTTAAAAAAAAAAAAAATTTCTTTCATCCTCAAAAGCATGAACTGGACAGATTGAGGAATCAGGCCAGGGAGTTGATTCAGGAAAATGAAAGGTCAGTTAGTAACAGTGAATTATGGTTTAATTTTAGTCAGAAAATGATAGGTCAGTTTGTAACAATAAATTAATAATTAATACTGCTCAAGCCAGAAAATCTGTACCGTGTTAACATAAAAGGATGGTTTTCCAATGTGCATGAAATATATTAAAGAGGGAAATTGACAGACATGAGAATTATTTGCAATCAATATGTCTAAACACTTTGAAAGGTATTGAAATGGACAAGTTGACAAAGGTATTGAAATGGACATGTTTACAAAGTTATTGAAATGGAAAAGTTTACAAAGGTATTGAAATGGACATGTTTACAAAGGTATTGAATTGGGAATGTTTACAATTCCATCATTATCTCAAAGCTTGCAGCGTTCACAAAAACAATTTAAATAGATTGCATATCTAGCACTGACTTACTCATCCAAGCATCTCATGTTTACTATGGTCTGCCTAACAACACTGACTGCCTTCATCATAGATTAATTTGTTATGTGTTCAATAGGCTTCACCAAGACCTAAAAGAAGCCATCCAAACTCACATTTCACCTAGACATGGTGCTGGAGGAGGCGATGGTGATGATGGAGTGCTCCTACACAACCTCCAGCAGCAGTTGGAACTCATCATGCAGGTATATCAGTCACACATTGGCAGGTATGATGACACAGGGCCTGGCACTGTCACAAAGGCACAGGTGTATCACTCATACATAGGAAAGTATGGTCAGATAGGGCCAGGAATGGCCAAATAGGGGCAGGTGAATCACACATAGGAAGGTATGGCCACAAAGGGGCAGGTATGATCACATTGGGGCAAGTACGGTCACAAAAGACAGATATGGCTACATAGGGACAGGTATCGTCACAAAGGACCATGTATGGTCACAGGGGCAGGTACTGTCAGTGGCACTGCCGTTTCAAATATTTGTATGTTGTATATTTAGTTACAGTTTTTAAACAACTTTTATGAATTTACTCTATCAATGACAATGTCTGACTAGGAAAGAAATAATGACAACTTGTCCTCAAACATTGACACGTATGGTTTCTATTAACGCAGGAACGAGATGCAGCGCAGGAAAAATGGAGGGAGGCTGGCCAGGAAGTGGACCGTCTGGTGGCGGAATTGGAGGTACAGGAAATAGTTGATGACAGTTTATCATTGAATATATTTTGTCCTGTATGTCCTTGTAGTTTCCCAACATGAGATTTCCTACCGGGAATTTGCAAATTATTTGAGCATTATTTTAATCTTTTCCTTTCTTACCATTTTTATTTATGGCAGTTTTTCATTGGCCTGACATGAAGAAGTGTGACTATCAGTACAAATAAATTGCCTTTCAGGGCTAACAATCCACTGGTGCTTCTGATCTTTGGGAAATTTAGATCTAAATTTTTATTCATTTTATTTGTGTTTGCACTTAGTTTTTGTTTGTCAAGGGATTGGGGAAAGCCGAGGCCCTGAAGTAGTTGGCCAAGATGAAGCTCTGCCGTAGTTAGCCAAGATGGGGCTCTGCCGTAGTTAGCCAAGATGGGGCTCTGCCGTAGTTAGCCAAGATGAATCTCTGCCGTAGTTAGCCAAGATGGGGCTCTGCTGTAGTTAGCAAAGATGAGGGTCTGCTGTAGTTAGCCAAGTTGGGGCTCTGAAGTAGTTAGCCAAGATGAGGGTCTGCTGTAGTTAGCTAAGATTGTGCTTTGGTTTAGCTATGACAGAAATAAAACTTGAATTTTACTGTTCTCTGAGATGAGTCTTATCATCAGATGTTACATTTAAATTTTTCTATGAAACTGTACACCATACATGTCATTAAACTGTTTGTAATTGCAGATGGAGAAAGAGAGTCACCAGTGGAGAGTGGTAGAACAGCAGGCTCATCAGGTTAGTAAAATCAAGACTTCTATAATTTTTATTTGGTCATCATGTATGTCCATAAACTTGGGCCCTATGTCACTGATGGAGAGCTTACCCTGTGTCACTGATGGGGAGTTAACTATGTCATTGATGGAGAGCTTACTCTTTGCCAAATGGAACTTCCAATGTTACCTCCAAATGTCACATCCAACATTACCTTAAAATGTCACATCCAACATTACCTTAAAATGTCACATCCAACATTACCTCCAAATGTCACATCCAACATAAATTCAAAATATTTCATCCATCATTACCTCAAAATATTACTTCCAACATTGCCTCAACATATTACATCCAACATTACCTCCAAATATCACATCTAACATTACCTCCAAATGTCACATCTAACATTACCTCCAAATATCACATCCAACATTACCTCCAATGTTTTCTTACAGGTTAAATCTCAATATCAGGAATCAGTGACAGCCCTCAATGGAGAAGTTGAATCCTTGCATACAGAACTTAGGTCAGTCTGTCTCCTCTTGTTATAGCATTTATGAAAACTCTCTCAATTATCACACCAAAATTCTTTCATGTCCTGATGTATTTTTGTTTTAAGAAATGCTATTTCAATGTAGTCTGCCTCTGTAGTTCATATGTAGTGTTGATATGTTTCGAGTACTGTGGTGACGTGTTTGTGAATAATTTTCAGAGAAAGTCGAACAGAGAACAGCCGTCTGATGCAGAAAGTTTCTGAGCTAAAGTTGACAGTTAATGATCTGCAGCAACAGCTGGTTTGGAAGGTGAGATAATGTTGGGAAGGTGACATACTGTCGGGAAGGTGAGATAATGTTGGGAAGGTGAGATAATGTTGGGAAGGTGAGATACTGTAATGACACAAACTGTGGCATGATTTCAAATTTTTATTGTCTATTTTTAAAAATATGTTGTTTTATGTTTCATTCTTTCTTCCACTTCCAATGGCCTCCATTTGTAATTATTACTCATTTCATTGCTGGTATTTTTCTATTTGGTTTTCCATCAATTTAAGCGCTTCAGGTAATGCTGTGCTGTAAAGGATGTTTTTCTTACTTGACAGGCCCAGGAGCATGCGGACACCATCTTCAAAGAGGGCATGACGGACAGCAAGGTCTATGAACTGAAGAAAGTCATGGATGATCTCAGACAGCGGTGAGTCCCCTAACCTTTCACTAAATTACATTTATTTTATTGATTTTTTAATCAGTATTTAACCCGCTCCTGTTTGTGGCTGAGCAAGTTTTGGCAAGTCTGTTGCATTAAAGATTTCTTAAATAGATAAGCACATAAATAAAAAGTGAAAAAAAAAACAGTGAGTTTCAAGTGATAATTGACACTGTTATAACAAAAAAAACAGATGTTTTTTTAAAACTATGTTTGATTCTCTACTTCAGCCTCTCAGACATTACCCAAGATGCCAATGAGATGAGACGTGAGAACACCAGCCTTGCCACACGTGTGACAGACCTACAGAGGCGGCTGTGAGTTGATTCAGTTATTTAGCAGATGTAACATATTGATACATTTTATAAACTGTTAGAGTCAGGGACCACTTCCAACTAAAGAAAACGAAGCGGAACATAAGTATCATTATTTATCAACTCTTTAATATTAAAAAGCTGCCCTCCTGAGATTAATAATTTGCAACTTTCAAATGAATTTCGGAGTAAGATTTATACACATTTTAAAAAGTCAATTCTAACAATTACTGGACATTGATCAAATGAAAAACAGTCCCTGGGTCAGCAAATAAGACCAATTTTCATTCATTTAAATTTTCCTTCTAAGGTCTGAAACAGAACTTCGTGAAAATGAGGCCATTGGACAAGTGAGAGATGCAGTCCAGATGGCGGAGGCGGCCATTATAGAGAAAGATCAGGTATGTTAAGTATCTCAGTTGCTGTTTATTTCAATAATTTTATTTTTGAAAGGGAAGGAAGGAAAAGCGGGTAGCTAAGGGTTAAAGAGAGCAGACATTAGATCCGTGGTTTCCAAAATTCATGGTAATGTAAATATCACAATCACATATTCAAAGATCAAATTTGTTGGTGCTCTCCTTTGAAATGGTGAATACCACTACAGGGGAAGCCACAGCTACAAGAGAAAGTGAGGTTATGTTTTGAAAAGAGTTATTATAATAACTTATGTTGTCCATATATTGTCTGTAAAGTAACTAACTTAACTCATTCACAGTGTGAAATTCTGGCCAAGAAGAAATCTGATGAAGTGGAGGAGATGAAAGGAGTCTTGGCTAAAATCATCAACAAAGCGGGTGCAAGAACCAGGGAAGAAGTAAGATGAGACAGTTATTCAGAGTTGAGACCGTTGTTCATGGTTGCTACAACTGTGCTGTCTCTCTCTATAGCTTGTCTCACTAACATTTCTCTATAGTTTTATTTTTGGTGATCTTTCTTCAACACACACTGATTTATTTTGCAATCTTGACTCTTAAATTTTTAAGGTTAATTTTATACTCTTCGTTTCCCTAAGAATAAACTGTGTAATTTTTTTTTTATGTTAACAATTGATTGTTAAAAAAAAAAATTAAATAAATGTATAGATTATTAAACTTTTGGCCTGTCTTAGCTTAAATATACATTTTTTTAATGCAAAAAATTTTATAACCATGTTATAAAAGATTATTACTATTAAAACATATTTTCCCCAAATGTAAGTCTTACTACCGCTATTTTAAAAACACAAAGAGAAATCAACCCAATAAATGTGATGGCACCTTGTTTGATTCCCTGAATTATCTGCAGGTTGACAATGTTCGAAAACAGTGCAATGATCGCATCACCCAGCTGACCGAAGAGCTTCATGTCCTGGAGATGGAAGGAGTTGAGAAGCAATCTCGTCTTGACAGGCTCCTAAGAGAGAAAAGGGCAGTGGAGTCAGAACTCCAGCAGGTGATTGTCTACTAGATATCTCTATTTGGTTATCTCCCCTCTCTGAATAAATATTCTATTTGAAGACTCTTTTAGTGATTTGGAGGAAAAATGGGGGGGGGGGGGGGGGGGGCTCTAAAACATTTCATCATTATTTCAGTCATCTTATAAGGTTTTATGCTGATTTATAAGTACTTTTATGTCAGTGTCTCTATACTTAAGGTTTGCTAAATTGTTCTGATATTTTTCTGCAAATGTTAAAATTGTATCTTTGAATCTGGTCAGATATTCAAAGAGGGCGCGGCTGAGGGATCAAAGTCCAAGGAGGCCTATCAACACTTAAACAAACGAGCCATTGAAGCTGAGCGAGCAAGGGATGAAGCCCTGATGAAGATTGACAGCTTACAGATACAACTGGACAAAATAATACTTGAGTAAGCTGGATGCGTGTCTTTTATTTTTGTTATAATAATTCATTGACTGCCACCACCAGCGGTTTGACAGGTAGGAGCTGTGGCAGGTGGCTGCTCACAAAACCAACCAATGTTTTTATGTAAATCTTACTGGGATTTTTTTTTAATACACCCGTTAGAGTTGTCCAAGAGTTCTATACGGACTAGATTTAATGGCTTTTAGAAGACAGGATTTAGCCCTGTTCTACAATGGTGGGAAAGTGCTTATTAACTATTTAGCAAATAGAATAAAAGCTAACATTTAAATATTGAAATTGAATGTTCTACCAAGGTTTAGAATTGCATGAATCGTCTTTGAGCAATGCTCTTGAACAGCGACTCACAAAGAGTCACGTCCCCAGACCAGACCCCAACTTCATGTGACTTAGTAGAGGCCTTCCTGCAAACTAATTTTCCTGCCGCATGATAGCCTAGGTCACCGCACCCTTCACAACATGGAGACTGTATGTGTAAATTGGCCGGGTAAAGACCCACTAGGCTTGGCATGTGACCCACTAGGCAGGAAATGCTCTCCCAGAGATTTACATGATATGGCTCATTTGAATTGTTCAATAAATTCGCATTAAACAATTATTAAATAATGTGCAATAAATAAGATGACATTAAATTTTTAAAAATTCAATAACATATTATTTTTTTAGCTGAATAAAATTTTTACATTAATTTAGCCTCAAATGACATGTAATTTAATCAAATATGTTGCATTCTACAACACCCAACAATAAATACAACAAATAATTTGTCAATATCTATATATATAATTCGCCAGCAAAGGTTAAACATCACCACGCAGGCTATATATAGATAGGCCAGAGTGTGGTTAAATAATGAGTTCACTAGCGCGCAAAATATAATTCTGATAACTATGCTAAATGATATATATATATTTTTAATAACGCAATTGCGTTGGTGCGTAATATTTTCTTTTCGGAAATGAAATTGTCTCAATTTAAGTATTTTATAAAAAATATTTGTTTAAAAGTGTTTGGGACATGAGAATATTAATTTAGTTCATGGGCGTGAAATAAAAAGTGTGCAGTGACGTATCATGGGGGAAGGGGTGTAGCAAAAAGTGGGTTTCTTAAATGTGCGTTACTTGAGATCCTGTTTTGTCAAGTAACTTTACTAGATGGGAAGTTCACGCCGCCAATGTTTGGCAGAGTCTATCTAGTATTTTAAAAATTGTTTAAATGTGCCGGTTGTCCAGCAATTTTCATGTTAAGGCACATATCGCGCTGCAATAAATAGTCTTTGCAAAATGCGGTTGGTATTTGTGTGGCAATAATTAGTCTTTGCAAAATGTGGTTGGTATTTGTGCTGTAAAATAAATGGTCTTTGCAAAATGTGGTAGGTATTTGTGCTGCAATAAATAGTCTTTGCCACATGTGGTTGGTATTTGTGCTGCAATAAATAGTCTTTGCCACATGTGATTGGTATTTGTGCTGTAATAAATAGTCTTTGCAAAATGTGGTTGGTATTTGTGCTGTACAATAAATGGTCTTTGCAAAATGTGGTAGGTATTTGTGCTGCAATAAATAGTCTTTGCCACATGTGGTTGGTATTTGTGCTGCAATAAATAGTCTTTGCCACATGTGGTTGGTATTTGTGCTGTAATAAATAGTCTTTGCAAAATGTGGTTGGTATTTGTGCTGCAATAAATAGTCTTTGCCAAATGTGGTTGGTATTTGTGCTGTACAATAAATGGTCTTTGCAAAATGTGGTAGGTATTTGTGCTGCAATAAATAGTCTTTGCCACATGTGGTAGGTATTTGTGCTGCAATAAATAGTCTTAGCCACATGTGGTTGGTATTTGTGCTGTAATAAATAGTCTTTGCAAAATGTGGTAGGTATTTGTGCTGCAATAAATAGTCTTTGCCACATGTGGTTGGTATTTGTGCTGTACAATAAATAGTCTTTGCAAAATGTGGTAGGTATTTGTGCTGCAATAAATAGTCTTTGCCACATGTGGTTGGTATTTGTGCTGCAATAAATAGTCTTTGCCATATGTGGTTGGTATTTGTGCTGTACAATAAATGGTCTTTGCCAAATGTGGTAGGTATTTGTGCTGTACAATAAATGGTCTTTGCCAAATGTGGTTGGTATTTGTGCTGTACAATAAATGGTCTTTGCCACATGTGGTTGGTATTTGTGCTGCAATAAATAGTCTTTGCAAAATGTGGTAGGTATTTGTGCTGCAATAAATAGTCTTTGCCAAATGTGGTTGGTATTTGTGCTGTACAATAAATAGTCTTTGCAAAATGTGGTAGGTATTTGTGCTGCAATAAATAGTCTTTGCCACATGTGGTTGGTATTTGTGCTGCAATAAATAGTCTTTGCCATATGTGGTTGGTATTTGTGCTGTACAATAAATGGTCTTTGCCAAATGTGGTAGGTATTTGTGCTGTACAATAAATGGTCTTTGCCAAATGTGGTTGGTATTTGTGCTGTACAATAAATGGTCTTTGCCACATGTGGTTGGTATTTGTGCTGCAATAAATGGTCTTTGCCATATGTGGTTGGTATTTGTGCTGTACAATAAATGGTCTTTGCCAAATGTGGTTGGTATTTATGCTGTACAATAAATGGTCTTTGCCATATGTGGTTAGTATTTGTGCTGTACAATAAATGGTCTTTGCCAAATGTGGTTGGTATTTGTGCTGTACAATAAATGGTCTTTGCCAAATGTGGTTGGTATTTGTGCTGCAATAAATAGTCTTTGCCACATGTGGTTGGTATTTGTGCTGTAATAAATAGTCTTTGCCACATGTGGTTGGTAAAGCCAAAATAGTTCTACATTAATGGACACAACTTGTTTGCTTTGAAGAAGTTTTTGTGTGTTAAAAATGATTATATTAACATTTTTAATATATAGCATTTTGTTTATCTATTAATAGATTGAGTAGATTACAAGTAGTACTTATCTTCTCCATGGTTGTTGAGGTATATGTGGGAAACTCCTTCGTTATTCTGCTTTCACATTTTAGTTTTCCCCACACTGCATTTCTCAACAGCAATCAACAGCTGAAACAGCAGATGGGGTCAGAGGTGAAACAGCTCCAGGACAGGCTGGTCAACATCCAGTCAGAGTTTGAGGTGGTCAGTGAAGACCGGATGGCCAGTATGGATAAGATCAACGACCTCAACAAACGCTTGCTGGCTGCCCAACAGGAAAAGGAGGCGGCGCATCGAAAGTTTATGAAAGAGGTCGGTACAGCGTTAGTTTATAATACAGTTTTGACTGGCACAGATTGGCTGATTGCTTTGAAGGTTCAAAACTTAATAATTGATCGGACAAATGTTTCTTATCTTAATTCTCGACTGTCACTGTGAACTGATCAATCAGAAATATAATTTTTAAAATATGTGAATGCGCAAAGAGTTTGTAGAGCCTCAACAAGGGATCATGGTATTTGTTTACTGACTGAAATGAACAGAGGTTGCATGTGTATTTTCTCTGACCAATCAGCTGGCTCTCATTGAACAAGATCAGCAGCTGAAGACACGTAACCTTGAAGTGAAACTGCAGACCACAGAAGATTCCCGTCATCAAACTGTGAGTGAGTTGAGGAGGCTGTTAACTGGCCAGCAGAGGATGAGTGCCAGGTTGGTGTTTGTTTTCTGTCAAGTGGTCTAAATTATCATATCTCTGGATGTCTTAACAATTTTAGACTTAAACCAATGCAATCCAAGTAAATAATTTAATAATGTTCGTTGTGATTTCTACTAAATAATTTTTTTTTTAATTTGTTTGTTTGCAGCCCTAAAAATAAGGGTATATAATTAATACTGGTAGTTGTAGTCAGGTCAACCATTACCACTCATGATGATAATCCAGATATCACTTATGTCAGAGGCAGAAGTTCAGTTGAATGTTGATTAACAAGACACAAACAATTTGTCTAAAGAAAACAATATATCTTAAGCTTCAATTATGATTACACAATCTACAAATTCAAACATTTTGGCAAATGCCTTCATCAGTACTACAGAAAAAACTTTAATAGAATTATAAATTAAATTACATAATATATATACATACATATATTATATATGGATGTCTATCCTACTTATACCTAAAATGAAAGAAAAGAATAAGAATGGGCAGGTCCTTTATGAAAACAAAGATCAGAGAAGAAAAACCTTAAACCTGCCTGGAAAATCTTTTTCTGACTGCATCCTAGGATAAAACCACCCAATAAATTGTAGCAATTTTCCTGTCCTGTACATACATTGTATTGATAAATAAATGTGCCACTGTGTTTTTATTCTATTCACCGTATTTCTTGAAGATGGAAGGAAGAATGTCAGACGATCACTCACAAGTTTGAGGGTAAGCTGGAGGACATGAGGAGTGAGCTGTCCCATGTCAAGAAAAGAAATGAAGAGCTGACCAGTTTACTGAAAGACAGTCAGACAAAAACTGCTGAGGTGGGCAAGAAATGTTAACTGTTTTCTTCATCGTCATCAATTTTATTCAATGTTAACAATTTGTTTTGTTCACTGTTAACTACTGTCTCATTCAATATAAAAAAACAAAAACTGTTCCATTCAATGACAAACTGTTTTATTCAATCTTAAACTATTTTAAATTTTATTCAACGTTGTTTTAGGTGGAGAGGTTGTTGTCTGATTACACTAAAAACATCAGGAGAATGGAAGAGAGGGTGAGGGAGGCAGAGATGCAAGCAGGGGAGGCCGCCAAGCAAGTTGCCAGGCAGAGCATGAAGGAAAGGCAGCTGGCAGCAGAGAGAGCCAGCTTACTAGTAGAGTTATCCCGGAGTCAAAGGTGAGGTTGGAGCAGTGCTTGGTTTACAATTAACTTCCAAAACCCCCTTGCAGTTGGATCACATGTGCTACAAGTCAAATTAGATGACCTCTGATTGTTTTTAGTTTTTAAATCTCATTTTGGCATGGTGCAAATATAAATTCATAAAAGACATTGTCATTGTTGATGCCGCTTTAATATGTTTGGTGGCTACTGCCAAAGGATAAATATAATATGTATGATTGCTTTGTGTTCACAAACTTAATAATTTAATTTGCTACCATGCTCTATCTTATTGTAAATTTTACTTTCATCCATACAATTTTATGCTTTAAAATAAATACAGATTTTTTATTTAATTCTTATAGGTGGTTTGTGAAAGTATTTCATGATATTTATATGCATTTTAAATTCATTTAGAATCTTATTTTTTCTCATGAAATTGATTATCTAGGGCTGGAAGCCTAATTGCAAGCCCTAAAGAGCGAATAACTCTGGATTACAGCAATAAAGTAGAGGCTGTCCTGGGAACAAGTCGTCGAGGGGAGCTGACTCTTGACCAGCTGAACAGCTCTACCAAAAAATTCCAAACTTCTAAGAACAGCACAGACAGCTGATGATTCCAAAAAAAATTAATTAAAATTGCTGACTGACTGTGATAAGCTGCATTATTACCTGTACCCATTGCATTCTGAATTCCGTGACACATAAAATTTGTCAGCTGAACTCTTTAGATGTAAAACATGAACATTCTCTTATACTTAAAGGTAACATTTAGTTGTAAACTGATCATGTGATCAACCAGGTGATGGGTTGGGGGGGGGGAGGTGGGAGGTGAGGGGATGGTATAAAGAGGAAAATATCATTTGAAAAAGGGGGGGGGGGAGAGGGGGGTTGTTTGGGCATCATGTGGTGGCTTCACCATTCCCCCCTACCTCTGTTATGTTTCACATTTTTGAACTTGGTTAGTTAATCATCAATGAATTAATGAAAGAAGTTTTATAATATCAGCGTTTAAAAAAACAAATTGAATAGAAAAAATATAAAATAGAATGTTTTTAATGTCTGCTGAAGCTGTCTGTGAAATATTTTTGATATATTCACCACTTGGATTTAAAGTCTCCGATCAATTTTTTTTTTTCCAAAGAAGCTATTTTGATGGAAAGTTTTCTGCAATAGAATTATTTCAGTTCTTTTTTTTTCTTTCTTTTTTTAAATCATGATTTAATTATTTTTAAGGTGTAATCTCTACGATATCTTGAGTTTGTATATGTTTATTCAATATCTTGAGAATGTCTATGTTTATTACAATATCTGAGTATGTAATTGTATATTTTTATTACAATTTAATTCAATAAAAGGACTAAATAAATGAATGAGTTGAATCTATTTAACTCCCAAGATAGACTACTGGTACTTTGTCATTAATAAGCTACCTTGCCATCATTATTAGGCTACCTCATCTGATACCACATGTTCGCCTTGAGACTTAAAAGGGGCGTACTTTTGCATTTGCTGGCCCAACAATTTGGAACTCTCTTCCTGTTGCTCTCAGAAACAGCCAGTCACTGGAGTCTTTCAAAACTGATCTGAAGACATATCTATTTCGCAAACACCTGCTTGGATGAAGTTGTCTATCTAGACTTATCTTGTAGATGTGTATTGGCCTGTGTTGTTTATGGTTGTTGGGTATGAAAGACTTAGAGTGGGTATTCTCGTATATAGTTTTTTTCAATGTTGCATTTTGTATCTTAATGTGGTATATTATTGATTGTTTCATTTCTCTTTTAATAAACTAGACTATGTACCGCACTTCGAGCCTTTGGAGATGAAGCGTGATTTTCAAAAAACTTTATAATTAAAATTATTACCTTATGATCAGCAAAAATGTTTTCAATACATCTTAAAACTCTAACTTTTGAGGAAGCTGCCAAAAATTTTGTCGAACACATCAGTAATATAAAAATATGTGTATACAATAGAATTGAAACAAATTGTTCAATGTTTGGAATAGATAACTGCACCTTTTAAAACCAGATTGAGGGTGTATCACAGGGGATCAAAACAGGTCACAACCTTTTAGTTTTGCCTTATACTAACAAGTCACAAACTTTAGTCTCACATTTTAACACAACTCTGACAAAAAAAAGTCATTAAAAAAATGTTTTTATTCTATAATTAAATCTTTAAGTAAAATCATTGTTTTCTTTGTGCAAAATTGTCCAAAAGACAATTTTTTGTCGATGTTTAGCAATACATGGTAAGTAAATACATAGTAAGTAATACATCAATATAATAAATGGATAATTAAAAATAAATGTCTCTTAAAAAGTAGGTGGGCTTATAAAATATCATCTTTTGAAACAAGTGTAACATAGTATTGAAATAATTTTCACACTTGTATTCAGTGGAAAGCAGCTAGTAAGTACTGCTTAAATAAAAAGATTTTCTTAATCAACATAAGCATTGAATCAGTTTATTGATCATGATCTAATGACTTCTCCTCACACTGGCCCTTTGGCCCAACATCTGAATGAATGCTGATTAGGTATTAAAAAAAAATAGCTTTGCTTTCTTTTACCTGATTTGTGGACATAGTTTTAACTAACATATGATCATTTAATTTAAACACATCACATGGAATAATTCATTGACATCCACTATTGCAAATTAATAAGGGTCAGTTCAACATAACAAATTTTCTTTCTGTTTCTCTGATTTAAAAGTTCATAAAATATTGGGCAGATTTTAAAGTGTTTGGAATGTTTGTGTTATAACATGGATGACCTGATAAAACATCCTGGAACCAAAACAATATTAAGTTGGTGCTGGACATTATTTAATTTATCAGGTGAAAATAGTCCTTTTTTTTAATAACCCCAGTTATGCTGTGGCTTAAAGAATGCAGTTGTCAGAAATGACATTTATTTAACAATCGGTGACTCCTAAAGTCACAAAGTTGTCTATGGTTTTCATTGGACATTGAAAGTTAATGGTATCATTATGAATTTGGTTAATGCATGATTGTCAACATTTTTTTTTAATGAAGTCTTTAAAAATATTGAATTGATCTTTACTTTGCTGTTAAATCTAAATTAGTTGTCCTTCTGCTAGCAACAGAAGTGTTTTGTCAGCATTGGGAATAAAAGTTTTTAAAAAATTACAAATTTAGGAGCACCAGAAAAAATAATTTGAAACTCCAATGGGAATAACAGTTAATAAATAAACACATTGTAATCACCGGTTTAAATTTAAATAAACAAACACGCAATTGTGGTGAAGGGTAGAGGGGCCTTCACAGGTTGAAATTTGAGTAAACAAACATAATTGTCATGAGTGGTCAGAAGGGTCTTAGTATTGAACTAAAATAAGTAGAGTAAAGAAAAAAATTAACATAATGAAGTCAGTGGTAAGAAATATGTTAACATAATGAAGTCAGTGGCAAGAAATATGTTAACATAATGAAGTCAGTGGTAAGAAATATGTTAACATAATGAAGTCAGTGGTAAGAATTATGTTATCATAATGAAGTCAGTGGTAAGAAATATGTTAAGAGAGATGTTAGCAGATTTATCATACATTTTGTAACCATTTTTTTTATTGAGTAAATTGTTACAGCTAGTATGTTTGTATTATAATAAATTAAATAATCGATTTAAAAGCTAGTTTTAGAACACATGCTATTTGAAGATCAAACATTCAAAAACATTTGCTGAACTACAATTAACTCAAATGTTAATTTATTATTCATTGTAATTGTACTCTTCATTGCAGCAAGAACTCCTTGCGTGGTCAAAGTACTTCCATTTAGAGAGGACCACATTACATTGAAATTGAAAATATAGAATATAGATGGTTGTTTTTACGGAAATCAATTTGATAGTTTTTAAATTTAATAGTTAACCATACCCTTTGCAATGAGAGTGAATCATTTTATGTAATGTTACAAGTTTCTGAAGGTTAATTTTTAACCTTTGGTCAATAGTCTTAGAAGAGATTTTAAAAAAAATCATAATAATCCAGTCAATTTGATAAACACAGATTTAACTTGGGCTTCATAATTAATTCCTGAAAAACAATATCACATATAAAATATACGTGTCTTTTAAAATAAATGCTTAAATGTTTTTTTAAAAATAATATGGACACATTTAATATAAAGTTTTTGCTTTCTGAATCCAGTTTAAAAACCCTTGTTTTAAAAAAAAAAAGCAAAATGAACATAACATATTCATGTGTATATTATTTTATAAAATAAATTGTGCCCGGCAATTATTAGAATTTCTTTGTAAATGTTACCAATAGAAATTATTGGATTTAATGTTTATGGCAATGTTCCCTGGGTAGTTGAGGAAGAAAAGGGAGGGGCCACTTTTTTGGCTACAGTGTATTAAAAAAAAAGTGTTTATGTTAGGATACGAAACAATCATCTATTTTTTCAGCACAATAATACAGTGGAACCCCGGTATAACGCGATGATCGGGGTCCATAAAATCGGATCGCGTTAAAAGCGGGGTCGCGTTAAAAGCGGTTTTACAATATTTAACTTTTTTTCCGAGAACATATACGTGTATACTATTTATAGTTCTACCGGAAGAAAGCCTCGTTTTCGGCATTAATTTTGATAATAGTTTGAACATGGTGCGTTTAAGGGCTCATTCTCTACGATATTTTGAAAAGTTGTGATTTTTTTCGCTTTAAAAAATGGCTTTCCAAGCAATGTATAAAATTTTCAAAGAACTTAGGCCTGATGGAGTAAATGAATTGCAAATTTCGGGAGCCATGCTACGACTGCGTTATATCCGAATTCGCGTTATGGCGGGGCGCGTTATAGCGGGGTTCCACTGTACTATTGTATTTAGAAAGGTAAAGATTGGCTGACAAATTTTCTGAATATTAAATAGAAAGAAAAAAAAGTAACGTTTTTAAAATCCTAGCATGAATGCTGGCCTATATGCCTGCCCAATATTTAGAAGAGATTATCGAAACTTTTCGAGAAAAATTGAGAAGCAAACTCAATGGACTCGTCGGCAGCTAGTAAAACAAACCATTATAATAATTATGCCACGTAGGCCTACATTTCTAGGCATGTTTCTTAGAAAGATTGGTTAAGCAGGGGCGGGCCCAGCAATCATCTGGTCGGAAGTCAAATAATTTTATGTTAAAGTTAATGTCACTATTCTACTGTTACTGTTATCCTCTAATTCTTCACAGTTTAAAGACTTTTTTTTTTCGTAGGCAAAATTGTTCGTGTTGAGGGAGGACTTGCTACGGCCTACGGACGGTATAGTTACTTCGCAGTAGACGGTGGCGTTGTCTACTGAATGTGCTAAAACATGTTCACTATTGTTCACGAAGCCTATTTTATTACGAAATAAATTACATTATTTATTAATTGATTTTTTAAGGGCATATTTAAAAATCAATTTGATTGCATAACGAATCCATTTCTAACTACTGGTAAAAAAACTAACAAAAACTCAAAATATGTATATTTTTAACCGTTAGATTATAAAATTGTATCTACCCGTTAGTCTATACTTAAACACTCAACAACATTGTCATTTACGCAATGGGAACTTAAAAGTTGTCTAACATAAATATCAAAGAGGACGGCAGCTTAACTGAACCATTCAGTCCGTGGTGACAACACAAGGCTTATCAATGTATTGTTTACACAATTTATCAATAATGTGGCTGCATGCTAAGAATAGCTAGGTTAAAGTTCATAATATCAGACTGTGGAAAGCTCAGGAAATATTTGGGGAGTGTAAGTTGTAGAGAATGTTTACAACTTTAGTTAGAGCCTAGAAAAAAAAAAAGAGCTAGGAAAAGAAATACAATTCTAAACCGTCTAAGAAATCACGATAGAACACCCGTCAACAGGAATCACGAATTGCAAAGATATTAAATATAATTCAACAGTTAATAACCACCAAAGAAGATGAAAAACTCACTTTATACCGTGTTTAACAGTAATGGTTTAATACCGCTAGCAATTTAAAAAAAAAAAGAAAAAAAAAGATTGTTCCGGAACTATGGGCTGTTTCGAATCTATAGTTCGTTTTATTTTAAATGAACAACGATAGCACTATTTTTATTATTAATTTTTTTTGTTGCTTTTATCTATCTTCTAAGAAGATGATTACGTCCTAACGCATCTCCAGGGGTTAAGTCTTGTCAACCGAGTGGAGGTCCCCGTAACGTGACCAGGCGATTGTGCAGAACCACTCCGATCAAGTCAACTGTCCGGCAGAAAGAATGATTCATGATAATTAAACGTTCTAAAAAGTGCACGATGTATAAAATACGCACTTTGCCGTAATATAAATAGTTATGCATTAAATGTACACTTGTGATTGGGTAAACACTATCACATAAGCTGTCAAGAATGCTCTCTTTCTTTTGAGGTGTCATGAATTAAGGATTTATAATGTTATATATTTGACTGGCATATATTTGAGGAATTGTGCTCCATTAGTAATGTTATATTTGGGTGGCATATAGGTGAGGATTGTGTTTTTCATGGCTCGTCAGTAATACTGGTGATGGTAATGTGAAAGATGAACTGGATAAAGCAGTTCCATTAGAGGCGAGAGTGCAGGAGGCATGTCTAGAATAGGCGTTAACGAAACCAGGTACCTTGCAGGTGCGGAATCGTGAAGTTTGCCGTCACACAAGAAAGGACCGGTGGAAGGCGTGTAGCGGTGCAGACCGTGGCCACCCAGATAGTCTGAGGCGGAAGCAGGGCGGTGGCTCTGTGGGCGTAATGGAAACATGAGAGGCAGAGAAACATTCGGACAAGAGCTGACTGAGGATGGGGAGCAAATGAAGGGGTGCTGGTCTGAGTATGGTAGCTGCAGCAGGGGATACATGGGGCAGTTTGCTGTGGGGAGGTCACATTTGGCCGTGTTCGGGTTTGATGGCGTCATCAACGGTGGGTTTTTAAAACAAGGTGGAGAAAATGCGTTTCTGCAATATTTAGAGGAATTGAGGAATTCTAAGGGAGGGCTGTCAGTGGAATAAGAACTTAAGGGGGAGTGGGTATAGGAGCTTAATGGGGAGTGAGTAAAGGAGCTTAATGGGGAGCCGGTATGAGAGCTTTGACTTTTCTGTTGTGCAAGGGTGTAGACGTTCCGCTCAAGGTCAGGTGACCAGGGGCGTGCCGTTAGGGGGGAGAGGGGTGTTGAGGACGCCTGAGGCCGACAAAGGATACCAGGTGGAAGTGTGGGTATTTGAGGTGTTAATTCTGGTGATTGTGTGGGTCGGGGTGGCGATTGTGTGGGTGGATGTGGCGATTGTGTGGGTGGGTGTGGCGATTGTGTGGGCGGATGTGGCGATTGTTGCTCCATTTGTGTGGGTGTGTGTGGTGATTGTTGCCATGGACGGTGTGATTCAATAGGGGCGCTGGCTGTGAGAGCAACGACCTTTTGTTCTGACTCGCTGCACAAAATCTTCCTCTTTTTCCAGTGTCTTGTTGAGGTTAAGGAGACTGCTGGTAAGTGGCCAGCGTTTGACACATCTGAAGTGGAAACCAAACTCAACTTTTCGCCTTCCGACGGGACTGTTCTGTTGAGTGGGGACTTATATTCCAGCCCCGGTGACTTGGTGTGGCTGCGTACCGCATGCGATAACACTTCACTGTCATAGATGCGTGCTGAAGAACGTACACTCGTCTCCGTTTCTTCTTCCGTTTTGCAGACATTGTTGTTTACATCTGGCATGGTGTGCATCTTGACGTCACTTCCCGTGCCGTGGTGGATTTTACCGCCGTGGTTTTCGCGACATCGCATTTGAAAATCTAAAACTTTTCCGGGATACGGGCACGTGTTGGCGGCACGTGATTCGCGGTCGTCTCCTGATGGGAGCTCTTGTTTGCACAGAGAAAGGAAAATATTGTTCAGATGTGAATCCTCGTTATCTCCGTTTGCGTTAGTGCGCATGTTTCTGTTTAAGCCGAAAGACTCTCCCTTGCCGTGCACATTACCTGACGGGTATTCAAAGGCACTTAGCTTGCACCTTTTTGCTTCATCTTGTAAACTGTTATTGCCACTCAGCGCTTCAGGAGTTCTAGGAGGTACGTGCGTGTTGACGCCGCTGTGATATTTTGAGCAGAGGTCACGGTGACTACTCACATCAACTCTTACACTACGTATCCCCAAAACACCACAATCCTTCGCACCGGACGCACGCCTTGACACCGCACCGTCTAACCCAAAAGAGTGCCCGTACGTGCGCACGTGTTTGCGCAGCGAGCTCGGGTCCGTGTATTGTTTTTGGCAGCCGGGCATCTTGCATTTGTAAGGTTTCTCTTCCTGGTGCGTGCGCACATGTTTGAAGCGGTCACTCGAGTTGGAGTACGCTTTGCCGCACCCGGGAAACGTGCACAAATATGGCTTCTCCCCTGAAAAAAAAATAAACCAAAAAAAAAAAAAAAAACTTAACGACTGCACCTTCTTATCAACATTTTAAAAGTTGTGTTTCAATTATGGTCACATTGATCACAATTCATTCGTTTAGGGGGGGGGGGGTTGTCATTTCATGCCGGAAGTCGATTCAAAGAACATCCGGGCGTACAGTCTGGCCAATCTTATTAAGATATGAATAAAAAACACCCTGGTATTCCGTTTGGCCAATCTCTCAACAGCTGCTCGGTACTTCTACGTTAATGTGAGCCAGCGTAGCGGGTCTTAAACTAGACGACAACGTGTTTACAACTTTATTTTACGAAAGATTTTTACAAATTGTTACTGCTTTAAATATGCGGAAATACATTGTTAGAAGCTATTTCTTACGAAAAAAATTGTCTAAAAATAGTAACATGACGTAATGCAATGTGACTTTTCCGGTCTTAGAAATGACCAACCCTATTGGACATAGGGCAATGCTTTGGAATTATAAAAGTATACTTTAGCCAGGGAATAAAGAAAAACTTATTTTTTAAAAATACCATTGAGAAGAGTCTTCAAATGTTTGCACGTTTTTACTCATTAAGGAGTGCACTTACCCGTGTGTGAGCGCGTATGAATCTTAAGGTTCTCAAGCCGCGAGAAACATTTGCTACACATGGGACATGAGTGGGGCTTTTCATTTGTGTGGGTTCGGATGTGGATAAGCATTTTGTATCTGAAAAAGATGAAGATAGATAGAGTTGACGAGGGGAAAAAAAATGTTAACGAAAAAAAAATTTTTTTTTTAAAAGCTAAATTTCGGCATTATGAAAGGGTGAAGTTGCTTGTGTCATAATGGTGAGAGTGTGTCTGAACTGTCAGTCTGGTGAGAGTGTGTCTGAACTGCCAGTCTGGTGAGAGTGTGTCTGAACTGTCATGCAGTCTGGTGAGAGTGTATCTGAACTGTCATGCAGTCTGGTGAGAGTGTGTCTGAACTGTCATGCAGTCTGGTGAGAGTGTGTCTAGACTGTCAGTCTCGTGAGAGCGTGTCTGAATGTCAGTCTAGTGAACGCACGTCTCAGCTGTCAGTCTGTTAAAAGAGTGTTTAAACTGTCAGTCTTTTGACAGAGTGTCTCAACTCTCAGTCTGTTGACAGAGTGTCTAAACTGCCAGTCTGTTGAAAGTCTCTCTCAACTGTCAGTCTGTTGACAGAGTGTTTCAACTGTCAGTCTGTTGACAGAGTGTCTCAACTGTCAGTCTGGTGAGGGTGTGTCTAAATTGGGTAAAACATTTTCTCCAACCTCTGGTGATACTCGAATAAAGGGGTAATAGAGTACTGCACGCGATATACGTATATGTCAAACCTTGACCACAGTCTTCCCTCATACATCTGTTATAAACTATAACTTTGAAGTAACTTCCACGTGACAAATGACAATGCTTACCTGGCATTAAATCCCTTGCCTAGCCTCGGACACCCTTGCCAATGACAATGAAAGTCAAGGTCAGGTCGCTCTATCCGGACATGGTCATCGTTGACGTGAGTGGACAGTTGTCTTTGACCAGGGAACAGCTGACCGCACGTCTTCCATCTGCACACGACCTTGTGAGTGGTCCTTCCGGGAATCTGATGTTACACAGAAATGGATTTTGTACTTAAATGTCTACAACTCGTTTCTCTAAACTGGTTGGTGGACAAAGATTTATATGGGACGTCTAAGCAATCAAATATGTCACACGAGTTGTCATATTGGTGGGGGTCTCAACAGTATGTCACACGAGTTGTCATATTGGTGGGGGTCTCAACAGTATGTCACACGAGTTGTCATATTGGTGGGGGTCTCAACAGTATGTCACACGAGTTGTCATATTGGTGGGGGTCTCAACATTACATCATAGTAGTTGTAATATGGGGGGGGGGGCTCAAAATTATGTCTTAGTAGCTGTAATATTGGTTGGGGGGGGGTCTCAAAAGTATGTCATACGAGTTTTATGTTAGGGGGGTCTCAAAATTATGTCATAAGAGGTGTAATGTTAAGGGCTCTCAAAATTATGTCGTAAGAGTTGTAATATTAAGGGGTCTCAAAATTATGCTATCGGTGTTTTAACATTAGAGGGACACCAAGTTGATGTGTAATGAGGAAATACAAAATTTGAAAAAGATTTATAGTGGGGAAATTTAACAAAAGTGTGCTGTTTGGAAATTGAACAAAAGTGTGCTGTTTGGAAATTGAACAAAAGTGTGCTGTTTGGAAATTGAACAAAAGATGTGCTGTTTGGAAATTGAATAGCTGTTATTGGTGCAATTGATCTGATATGGAATTTGACCATTAAATGTATATGTTCTGTGATCATTGACTAGATACGTTAAAGCAGGTAGTAGTATTTTTGACACATTGTGGCACATTCGCTTTTGACAAAGCGCAAAGCCGTCTTACCACTTCCATTGTTTGATGTCGGAGCTCTCCTCCCTTTCGTTCCGAGTGATCTTCTCCTGATGTGGAACACGTCACGTTCTTGGGAGACACATTACACAAGTCCGCTGGACCGTGTCCGTGTTCACAGTGGCCACGTGGTTCCGTCTCACCCGGTGGTGACCCGACCGCTGCGGCGTAGTGCGGCACTTCGGTGACCTCACTGACCCGGTGGCCCCACGAGAAAGGCGACCGAGCCGTCGAGGGCGACGCCAATGGTGAGGCATGACCTGGCGACGTATCCATGGGCGGCGATGGTGGTGGTGGTGGGGATACGACCTTATTATCCATAAAATCTGATCTTCGAGTTTTTGACGTATCCATCGTTACCTCCAAAAAATCGATTTATTGTAGAATCACCTCTCTCGACGTATCCATTGCATTATCTAAGTATCCATTGAATTGGGGGAAGAGATCACCACGCATTGAGCATCTGTCCAACGAATCAAGCTTCACCGAGAAAGACTATTCCTAAACGACAACAGCAAAGCCATGACTCCTTTATTTGTTGAGTTCTGACTAGTGTGTACATTTCTGGCTGGTGTGTACATTCCTGACAGGCGCGTACATAAAATGTAGACACTGGACTTTCGCTCCCCTTTTTGGGGGGCTTCTTTTAAAACTCCACCCCAAACTTGTCAGCTGTTCATATCATGATGTCCGTGGAGACAGCTTATAGGGCTATAGCAGTTCAGGGCTCCTTAGATACATTTCGAGGAATTTTCACGCATTCTGGAACCTGAAACAGCAATAGAATTTTTAAAGACTGAAATTCTTCTTCTTCATTTAAATTTTTTTTTTTTTAATGTTATTATTTTTCAAATAATATAATTGCTATAAATTACCCGCCAAGCAATGGCGGCGGCAAAACGTGAACGTCCCGTCTGAAGAGATTGGACGAAACAATGCATTCGGGTGGAGCACTTTAATAAGAATCCCGACTAGTGCTAACGTCTGGGAATTTATGAATCGCGCTTATAAAACACATCTTTACAGCGTATAAAGCGTAGCTTTACAGCCATACATTCTTACCATTCGTTGTGGTTGAACGTATAAATATCAGTGCCAAATATCGCACTACATCTTCAGTATATGCGTGTTCAAGTACAACATTCTATAGAAAACCAACAACTCTTGTCATGTGTTGTTTGTTCGTGTCGTGGGTGTATGTACAATGCTTGGATTTAATTTTTTTTTTAAAATATATAGTTGAAATGATTGTTGGCTGAAATCTATGCAAATACGTCTACCTATCTTCCCTGGCAGACACACAATTTAAATTTTGAGCTCGTTGCCTGGGACATGTTTATAGTATCCGGAAATTTGATCGGAAGAAATTTCGTCGACTGTAAACTGATCGACGGTAATTTGATTGAACGGAAATTTGGTCGAATCTTTTTTTTTTTCCTTCAGTTTTTACGTTAAAAATTTGCTTCAAATTTCTTTTTGAACGCATTATTTTGTTTTACTATATAGTATATTGCGTTCAAAAAGAAATTTGAAGAAAATTTTAATGTGTGAACTGAAAAAAACGAAAAAGATGCGACCAAATTTCCGTTCGATCAAATTACCTTCGATTAATTTACCGTCGACGAAATTTCTTTCGATCAAATTTCCGGTAACCCATGTTTACAGCTGGATCAACTATTATCGTTGCCATTATTATGCAATTATCATTACGCATTCCCTAAACACCACTCGTAAGCCCCAACCATACAATTCATTTGATGAAAATTTCACCAGTGAAGAAAGAAGACATGGCAGAACACATTTCAATGCATTTGAAGTGACTTAACATCAATTACATCACCGAATAAAGGAACTGAATCGTGGTGATGTACCAGGCAAAGTCGATGGTCAGATCAGCTAATTAAGGGGGGGGGGGTCTCTGAGATCGATTTAACCCGCGCTGGAATCAATTGAATAAATCAACTCATATCGATGGGACAGAGGAGATTGTGAACACTGACCACAATGTTAAATAAATCAACTCATATCGATGGGATGGAGGAGATTGTGAACACTGACCACAATGTTGAATAAATCAACTCATACCGATGGGATAGAGGAGATTGTGAACATTGACCACAATGATGTCAGGACTTGATGAAACAAGACATAAAACTTGCCAGTAACTTCCCGAAACAATTCGCCGCATTGAGAAACTGACCATTCGTCACACACTTCATAGATGAATTTCCGGTTAAAGTCGGAGAAAACACGAACCCTCGTAGAAAACCTTTATTTATTTCACTTATATAACAATGTTTATTTGTAAAACCTAAAATTCATATTCACGTTTGAGATAACTTTGAGAAAAGCCCTAACATGAAACCTATATTTACCTGCCCTAAATTGGGTTCTCGCCACTGGGGCTACGCTCAACAGAAGTTTATTTAGAGAGTATATTTCCTTTTTTTTTTTTTTTTCCCTCTTTTCTTTTACCCACACATCCAACCCTTAACTCCTAATAATTGGGTTCTCGCCACTGGGGCTACGCTCAACAGAAGTTTATTTAGAGAGTATATTTCCTTTTTTTTTTTCCCTCTCTTCATTTAGCCACACATCCAAGCCGTAACTCCTAAAGCCACATTGAAATACGCCGCCGGACATCCATACCTACGCCATTCGGGCGTAATGCGAATCAAAATTGTATTTGTTGTAAGATTGCGTCTCGGCGTTCTGTTTTAGGTATTCGATTCTTCCCTTATCTGGACCTATCCAGCCATTGACGTCATAAGCAGGTGCTTGAGTTCGAGCTCGGCTCGCGTTATCAGTCTGAGATGACCTCTCACCTTTCTGATGACCTCTCGAACGGTGAGATCAACAGTCAACTCGCGAGAGACCGTCACACTTCCAACACTTCGCGAGAACTGTCAGCTGTTAGGTGGAAGAACGTTCTGTCACTTTACGGGAACTGTCAGCTGGTGGGTAGAAGAACGTTCTGTCACTTTACGGGAACTGTCAGTTGGTGGGTAGAAGAACGTTCTGTCACTTTACGGGAACTGTCAGTTGATGAGTATACAAGAGCATTCTGTCGCTTTACGAGAGCTGTCAGCTGTTGAGTATACAAGAGCATTCCGTTGCTGAACGATAACTGTCAGTTAATGGGTATAGCCTACAAGAGCATTACGTCGTTTGACGACAACTGTCGGGTTTTTTAATCGAATTTTGTGATTAACTGGTTCACGAAAATTAGTTCACGACAGTTAATTCACGGAGATTAGTTCACCGAAAAGAACACAGTGAGTACAAGTAGGTACATTTGATCTCTTGTGCTGAGATCTTGCAGAAAGCAAGTGTTGTCATGGATGACGTGGAACTGTACGGCCAATTTTAAAACCTGACGTCATTCGTCAAATCTGAAGACCAGGGGATTAAGTTCTTCAAAGATTTTGGCTACATGAACAATGGAAGACAGTTGTCAGATATGGGCCCGGCATTGGCTGTATGAACAATGGAGGACAGATTTCAGATATTTGCCCGGCATTGGTTGTTGTTCCCAAGAACTACTAACAATTCTTACATTTTAATAATGTTGCACTCATGCTTCTAATGCAAAGTGGAGAGATTCTTTGTTTTTCCACTGATAAACGCTCAGTGGACAAAATGGCGGTACAGACTTGATGTGGAGTTCACGGAGGTGGTTATACTCACACGGTGCCATGTTAAGAACACATGATATGTTAGAATTTTTTTATAGTTAAACCTCTTTATCTTTAAAGAAGGAAGAAATGTTGTATATAAAATTTAATAATAATAATAATAAGAGGTCTTATATAGCGCGGTACCCCAGCCTAGGGCTGGGCTCACCGCGCTGTACATAAAAATTCTATCAAAAGAGACATAATCATGACATTAAAATAAAATACATTTATGAAATAAAAAACAGCAATTTATATTCACCCACATAAATAAATAAATAAACAAAAATAAATAAATTAATTAAAAGAGCCTTGCACTGAGAAGTATCTAATTAGTGTCAAGGGTCAAGGCCTAGGGTAAAAAAAAGGTATTTTCAATGTTGTAGGCCTAGTTATTGATTTATTCCAGAATAAACTTATATAACTAGTGGCCTAGGAACCGGGGTGGGGGGCACTTTTTATGGATATTGGGAGGCGGCATTTTCCGCCAACTTATCCGTTCAAGGGGGCGTCAAAATTATCTGCCCGCCCCGGGTGGCGCTAACCCCAGCTACTCTACGGTATATATCTTAAATTTGTCTCTGTTTTTATTTTGATATCTACTTCTTTCAAATGAATATTCCTATTCAGACCTTTTCAAACCTTTTCATATGGTCTATTCAGACCTTTTCATATGTCCTATTCAGACCTTTTTATAGGAAATGTCCTATTCAGACCTTTTCATATGTCCTATTCAGACCTTTTCATATGTCCCATTCAGACCTTTTTATAGGAAATGTCCTATTCAGACCTTTTCATATGAAATGTCCTATTCAGACCTTTTCATATGAAATGTCCTATTTAGACCTTTTCATATGAAATATCCTCCTAGTCAGAACGTTTCAAATAAAATGTCCTCCTAGTCCGACATTTTCAATGAAATGTCCTCCCAGTCAGACCTTTTCAAATGAAATGTCCTCCCAGTCGGACCTTTTCAAATGAAATGTCCTCATTCTTCACTTTGGCATCTGGCAATAGCTCCGCCAGACTTGCATACTCATCCTGATAATCATGGATCCAGCCAATTAGAAACGATTCCCCCCCCCCTTTTTTTTCACCCTCAAACTCTCCAAGAACATTGCAAGACACATTGAGCCTCGGGGAATGCACCTAAGCTGAACACAAGCATCTCTTTCGCCAGCTTTCATTTCTTGTCAATGTTGGCCGTATGCCATTGTTCGACAGCACTGTTCCTCTTGTGCTTTTAATGTCAATCACTGACTCATCGACATTTAACCACATCCCTAAAAAAATAATAAAAATAATAATAATTTTTGTGAAATGCCACGCCCCCCTTCACCACTATAGATAACAAATCCTAATTCTAAAGAATGCTACAAAACCCAGTATGCACACAACGCCCATAATGTACACAAAACCCAGTATGCACACAACGCCCAGAATGTACACAAAACCCAGTATGCACACAACGCTCAGAATGTACACAAAACCCATTATGCACACAACGCCCGAATGTACACAAAATCCAGTATGCACACAACGCCCAGAATGTACACAAAACCCAGTATGCACACAACGCCCAGAATGTACACAAAACCCAGTATGCACACAACGCCCAGAATGTACACAATGCCCCCAAATCAAGGGGTATACACTGTTTTCATCCCTTCATCATGAGGGATAATATCTTCCACCGACCAAGATTGGGTTATCTGCCCTTGTCTTGAGATATTAAGCTCCAGCTCTGTGCGACTGGCCTA